TCTCTCTTTCTCTCTTTCTCTCTTTCTCTCTTTCTCTCTCTCTCTCTCTCTCTCTTTCTCTCTCTCTCTCTCTCTCTCTCTCTCTCTCTCTCTCTCTCTCTCTTTCTCTCTTTCTCTCTTTCTCTTTCTCTCTCTCTCTCTCTCTCTTTCTCTCTCTCTCTCTTTCTCTCTCTCTCTCTCTCTTTCTCTCTCTCTCTCTCTCTCTTTCTCTCTCTCTCTCTCTTTCTCTCTCTCTCTCTCTCTTTCTCTCTCTCTCTCTCATATATATACGTATATATTTTCCGTTGGAATGCTTACCCTTGTACACAACCGACGTCTGACCTCCTTTCTCTTCTCTCCCTGAAGGCCGCGTCCAGGTGGAGCTTGTCACTGGAGAGATCTACCTCGGTGTCCTTCGGACTTTTGACCAGTTTTGTGCGTCCCCCCTTTCCCTCTCAGCACGGATACACCTCGCCACTCTAACTCCCTCTCTTGCTCCATCCCCTGGCACTCAGCCAACTTGGTCCTGACCGACGTGCAGGACCGCATCCTCGGAGATATCCCCGTTCAGCCGGCCGACCCGGCTGCCCCGCGTGTTCGCCGCCAAATCATCGACAGTGAAGTCCTTGAGGGGGCCATCACCATCCATGGCGAGTCGCTCTCCTGCATCTCTCTGCTTTCGGTATGCTGGCATCCTGCTCCTCTCCTCCTCCCCGTCTCCCCTCGAACGCATGTTGTTCCTCCGGCCCATTTCTTACCTTCTTGTGCTTTGCCAGGATGAGATTGTTCCTGGTCGCCATGCTGCGCCAGCCCCCGCCACCACCAGCTCCGCCACCGCCGCGTCTGCCGCCGCCGCCGCCGCCGCCGGTCCGACCGCTCCTGCCGCTGGTGGCGCTCCCGGCTTCCCGGCCGGTGGGCCTCCGTCGCCCGGCGGCGGCTTCATCACCTTCAGCAACAGCGGCCTGCGTGGCAGCACGCACTCCAGGCCACCCGCCGGGAGCTCCGGGCGCCGTGGGGATCGCCAGCAGCAGCAGCAGCAGCAGCAGCAGCACCGTGGTGACAGCGGTCGGAGCAATGCTGGTGGTCGCGGCCGGAACAATGGTGGTAACCACGATCGTCCTCGCCATTCGTCCCAGTCCCCGCCACAAGAGTTGGCCGACTTTGAGGATGCCGGCCACCAGTAGGCCCCCCCCCCCGCCGCCTGAATCTCCTCCCAGCTGCTGAATCATGTGCTCCCCTGGTCTTTTTCTTTGCTGCACATAGTTTCTTCCCCCCCCCCTCTCCCCCTTCTCCCGCAAGCCCATCTTGTTGGGAAGATCCATGTGCAGGAGTGGTACACCGACAAGGGCACCGAGAGAGGGGAGCCGGGCAGACAAGAAAAGAGGGCCGGGAGTGGTGCGTGTGCACCCATCTCGCGAACTTGCTTCGGGCCCGGGGTGGGGAGGCGCCGCCCCTTAGTGAGTGTGCCTCGCCCTTCCCCCCCCCCCCCCCCTTGAGGCCCACACCAATCGGCACAAAAATACATCCCCTTTTTTTTTGGAAAGGGACATGAAACGAGAAGAGACGGCGAAGGGGCTGGGTGCGAGCCTGTGTTTGTTCACGCGTGTATGTGCGGGCCATTTCTTTCGCCACGACGCGCGTGAACGCGTGTGTGTGTGTTAGATGACAATGTGGAGTGGCGGGGCGCGGCTTCCAGTGGGTGGGATCCGACGCGACCCGGGGAGGTGGATCACTTGATTGAATCCAGAAGGCACGCAGTTGAGCCCCGTGACACATGGCGGCATTCTAAACAGTGTTCCTCCGAGGAGAAAAGTGGGGTAACCTGGCTCCCGAACGGCCGCCGACCTTAGGCCTGTACAGAGCGCCAATGACGAGGGAGACACAGGCAAGTTTGGAGGTCTCAGATCTGCTGCCTAACCGAATCCAAAGGTCGAAGGGGAGACTTCCTCCAGGACATCTCCCGAGAGCGAAGACCCCAGCAGCAGGGTGTCGGAGACCATGGGAAAGAGTCACCGAAACACCGGTAACACCCTCGAACGCCTGTTCTTCGTCTTCCCCGCGAGTCCCTTTTATTTTGTACCATCCCGTTTCTTTCGCACGCACCCGGACTCGTGTCGGATCCGGTTGCAAGATCCTCGCCCTCTAGGCGACTGTATTTTTTCTCCCAGCTTGGCGCGCCCTCTCCTCATGCCTAGGGTGCTCTTTGCCAAGAGCAGTTTCCCGGCACGGCCCTCGGTCAAAGTGTCACTCCTTTGATGAAAGACCGAGTCCGTGAGAAGCGCGCTACACGTGGCACGCGGTCGTGTGATGAGTATGCCGGCCCAGTCATTTGATCAACATGACCTTTAGCATGTTATATTTACAGCATCTGCCCACGTATGCGCCTGTTATGCCGTTGGGCGAGACCTCCCAGCGTCTCATTTATTTTTTTTATCGTCGGGCCGACCCTCGTGCCGCGGGTGAACGTGGAATCCCCGGCCGGACAAGTGCGCGCCTTTTTCCACGCGCGTTCTCCCCCACCACCTCTGGGCTGATATTTTTCCTTCCCCGCCCCCCGCCCCCGTTGAGTCTCCTTGGCGCCCTTGATGGGGCTGGCTGTGCACGGCGGTCGTACACGGAGCTTCACTGGCGCCCACGCATCCACTGCGCGTCGCCCAAGTGTCCTCCCTTTGGGCTTTTTGGCCATTCACACGGTGCGCCCTCTGCTCCTTGCCTACATGCCGGGGGCAGCCAGGAGGGGGCCAGGGGTAGTACCACACACAAGAGGGGCACCATGGGAGGGGGGGGTCCGGGGGAGCAACTTTTCCTTTTCTTAGACCCCTCCTCAAGCGTTTTCCGCCTGGAAAGCACCTCACCCGCTTGGCCTCCCAGATGGGGGGAGGGGGGGAAGCCAGAAGTGCCCGAGCGCCCTTGTGAGATTCTCGGTGATGCGGATACTCGGCAACGGGCGACGGACCCAGGGCGATCGCCCACCGCCGCCCCTCGAGCGGGGCCGGACGCATTCCTGCCTCGCCAGGCTCCGGGTCTGGCCTCCGCCAGCTATCCTGGTGGTGATCGCCCGCGCCCCGCCAACGGACCGTGAGAGGCTGCACACCGGCCGCAAGAGGCGGCCAGCTCCGGGGTCGCACCTTTTCCCCGACAAGTGGCATGATGCTTCGGGGAGTCCCTCCGGCGGCCTCGTCCAGGGGCCGGGGGGGGGGGGGGGGGGGGGGGGGGGCCA